GCTGGTTTAATATGTGTGAGAGTGTGACAGTGGAAGCCTTCATTACAGGGCTTCACTAATCCAAACATGCAAATCTGTATCTAAAAAATGTTTTTATGCTTTATCCTAACACAGTTTCTATGCTATTAAGATTAGGAAAAAATAATACGACTGGTTGCCAACGCTGTATCAGAATGTGAGTTCTTTGAACGCGCACATCTAACAGCATAAGAGCAGAGAGAAAATACAGTCCACAAATCTCTACAGAATATGCTGACACAAAAACATTGGTTAAATTGGCCAAACAATTTGGAAAAAAATCAGCACCCTGTGAGTGACGCTCGTTTTTTTACCAATGAACATATTAAGATCACATCCTAAGTCCCCTCTGTTTTTCCTTTTTATATTTCATATTATGAAATAAAGTGTGATTTACATTATTTATTAAAGGAAATCCCAAGTCTTCTGAATGTGATCAGTTGTAATCAGCTGTTTCATGTCTCACATGCTGTTATCACATGCTCATGTGTTGTGTTAGAGTCGGGCTAAACAACACCAAACCCTGCTGCATCCTTGTTTCAACGAAGGCTAAAATCCTTCCACCATGAGAACGACGATGCGTCTTCTGCATTGCATTAATGCGCATCTAATATTCAACATCAGCCCACACTGTCCTTAAAAATCACCAGTGCTTAGAAAGGAAGCTTGAAACATAGTTACATAAAGTACCGCCCCTATCTGAACTGTATTTTATAATGTATATTGAAAATATATGGATAGGAGTGCATTACCATATGAGCCAAATGGGCATATTCATCCAAGCATATTCACCGTGACATTTTCAAAGAGAGATCTAAGCTGACAGCAGAACCCTGCCCTTTTGTGTGTGTGTGTGTGCGTGTGTATGTGCTCAAATCTTTGTGTGGTTCGGGTAGATTTGTATAAATAATCAGTTACTCCTAAAGAGTGAGACAGGGAAGTTTTATGTATGTGAATGTATGAGTGTTGCAGAGCTGAAATGCCACTGCGATATGAACAGACCTTTTACAATATGTTAGAGAGAATACCTTGCAGAGAGAGCAACAAAGAGCAGTTCATTACAGCATGATTACCATATGCTTGTGAGACTATGGGTTCAAGCCTGGTTCAGATCCAGCTGGTAATTCATGTCCTACTTCAGTCTGGCTTCTATTGCTACACTGTGCGCTTCACAAAGCACAGTTCATAAAAATTAGAGGTGTTTTCAATTAAAGAGACAAGAAATCTTTAAATCTTGTAAATTGTTTTGGATAAACAATGATGAATTCCCTGCATTGGCCAGTTTTGGAGCTAGTTCAAAGCTGCAGGTGGACTCATGCCAGTTGGTAGCAGGTGATGTCAAATCGAGTATCTCTTCTCAGTTAGTGAGACGCGAGAGGGAAACAAGGCCATCTGTTCTTGTTGAGGTTTAGAAGGAACTAAGCACAGGCTTACAAATCTCATTCATGCATCCCATGTTGAAGTATATGTATCCCTTTTGTAAATAAAAAAGGAGAGAGTCACAGTTGTGTAAATTCTACAATTCAGTATGAAGAGATTAAATAGACAAGTGGCAGTCTTAGTTATTGAGCTAAGTGATGGAAACAGGACTCTGATAATGGGTAGTAGAGAAAAAAAGCTCTAAAAAAGTCAATCAGAGTAAGTAGTTGTAATGGCCTTAAGTCCTGGAAATACAAGTTTTGCTTCTGTACACACATTAGTGCATCCCATGTATTTGCAGTGATTCACCACTAAAAGCCTACAGAGTGTGCAGAAATAAAAAATTAACAGTGTGTCAGTGTCATATGATTCAAATTTCTCTGCATTATGAATGTAAGGATGAGTTTAAAAATATACAAGTTGGTGAATTATTCAGCTCCTACCCTCACACTCTTAGATGCTTTTCGAGTTGATACTGTTCAGCTGCGTTGAGTTATGTTTGGACACCATGAGGCTTTTTTTAGATAAAATTCCTCACATTAAACAGAATTTTAAAGCTGTCTTAATACTACAAATAAAACTTTATTCAAAGCGGATAAAAGGTGCAATTACTTTGTCGAGCACAGTAGAATTTTTGAAGGGGATGATAAACCACCCATGATGGGTGTAAATAAGACAATTTATCTGCCACCATGCAGCTGCACTCCAGTGTACAATGTTTTGATAAAGAAATTTGTCAGTCATATTTCCTTCTTTTCCTTTATCATTTCAGCTTTAGATTAATATTCTTAATTCTACCCTGTTTTATAATCCTTTTATGCACAACAAAGCACAACAAATAAATAAATATTCCAGATGAACATATTTGCATGTTTCAAAAATACCTAATCTAGAGTCATCGGGGGATACTGACTTAAGTTCACATTGTTAAGCAGCAATCAGTGGGGAGCATGACTTGACTAACCTTGACTTGCTGGCCACACAGAGCTATGTGTGTATACTACCACCCAGTGAAAAAGCGGAAAACTACAAGAGTGGATGAGTCATCCCAGTAGCCCGACCGACTGGCTTCATCAGTCCTGTGGAAAAGAGACCCAGTTTGGATCATACATTTTGTCTCTTAATATGAACAGCTAAAGTGAGGCTGCATCAAGGTCTGTGAAGATGCATTTGAAAGGTTGGTGCATAACCTGTTAGCAAAGAGAGGAAAACAGGGCTTTTACAGGTGACAAAAGGAGAGAGGAATTGAATTGTAGTGTTTTGAAGCAAAAACGAGAGAGCGGAGGATTGCACACCACAAGTAGTAACCATGCAGGGAAAACGAACTGCAAATGTCAGCTGACCAGCAAGAAAGCGGGAGAGAGATGTTTTTCAGGTCATCCTTTTTAGTTTTTACAGGCATCCAACAGTGCTTGAATTTATTTGTAGAGAGAAAAAAATACATCTTCTGTGGCTCGCAAAATAACTGGTTTCAGTAGGTTTATAATTTGACACAAGGCAGTGTGCTTTTTTTAAAACCTGGCTCTGAGTACAGTCCTCAAGGGCAGCGGGTTGTAAAAGTTTCAACATCATCTATTTCCACCATAACCTTGATGGGTAACATATGTTTGTAAGAGGACGTGGATGTCACAAGGATTTATGTTGCTGGACTTTTTCAGTGTGCAATTTCACATTTGATTGCATGCAACATGATTTAATATTCAACTTATATTTATCATAGATTTGTGTCAACGAAATGTTCGTGAATTCGCAGTGTGCTAACGCTCCTTTTTAAGCCAACTGTGATTTCCTCATGTTCCGCAGTCTCTGCTTGTTAAACAAAGCCCTGTGTTAAGAGCAAAGAGCAGAGTGTTTGTCCCATCAACAGGGAGACAGATTCTTCCTGACAGGAGGCATTAAAATCCACTAAAAGAAGAGAGAAAAACAGTCTGTCTAGAAGGTGTTACCATAAATGTTGTGCTAGTTGGAAATGTCACAGGTGTTTATCCATTTGTTGAACTCCTCTCTTCCATAACCTGCAGCAAAATTGCCGTGAGACCTCTAAATGACTGTAGACTGTAGTCAATTTCCAGACTCAGAGCGCTGTGAAGTCTAGTAATACCTCAGTCCAGTCCACCATGAAAGGGTTGGAGGCAGGCACTCCATTCATTGAAGCAAAATTGGTTTTCCTTTTTAATTGTGTGTCTTTTATTTTAAAAATGTTCCTGTGTCCTTCATTTCGCAACACAAGAATAAGTAGGCATGTTAGACACTTTCTTCTACAGAGCCGTCTTTGTTGAATCATAACTTGAGCAACTTTCCATCACCTAATTACGGTGTGACAGGTCATTTAAGTCAGCTGAAGCCTGGATACATGAATGTTGTTTGAAAAGACTGTTAGAAAGGGCTGATAAATAAGAATTTATTACTGTTATCAGTTACGCTCCGACACCGGAGATGAACAGAGCCGACGAGCAGTCATTATAAAAACGTGTTTGCTAAATGACCTAAATAGGCCATACATCTATATTCCTCGCCAGCCCAACACCTCACTCTTCTCCCCTGTGTTCCTCTCAGGTAATTACATCATTACAGCACTTTTGACAGAGAGTCCTGAGGGCATCGAGCCACTTAATTCATGCGCGTGTCCACCTTTCGCAGACGTCGTTCACATCATAAACTCTGTCAGTCTGCACAACACACATACTGTGAGAACCAAAGGAATGCATTGGGAAAGAGCTGTGACTTTGACAATGTGAGAGTGTGGCCTCAGTTCAGCGTAACGGCACACTGCCACTCACCAAGCACCTGCGACTCACTGTCTGCAACTTAGCCTTTTATCACCTAAATCCCCAGCGTGGGATTAAATGTGACGGATGTGGGACAAGACGGGGTTAGAAGTCGAGGTGAAACGGGTGAAGCGCATTTTGGGGTTTACACGAGTGACTTTTGGGAGGGGAAAGTTTTTGTTGAAAGATGAAAATAAGAAAACAGCTGAGTGCGGAAACAGAGGTGAGAGGAAAGAGTTGACAAGCACATCTACAGGAGACGTATTTACAGAGGGTGTAGGGACTGTGGTGAAATTAGATTCCTCATTAGTTTGCTCAATATCACAACGTGTCAGATCCATTTGACAGCATATTCCTTTCTTTTGTTTTTTTTTTTATTTTCCTTCGCTTGTTATCCCTATTAGTGGTATAAGCTGTGTCTGTTTGTCCGCGTGTATTATGTTGTCTCCCACTGGGTATTTTTGCCAAATGTCATGCTGTTACAAGAGGAAAAGTTTAGAATTTCACATCTACAAAGAATTGTTTTAACTCTTTGAACGACAGATAAGTAATTAAAACTGTCCTGAAAAATAAGGTTATAGCACGTGCTGCCTTGATACTAAGTAAAAAGATTCCAGAAGAGAAAGTAAGTGACCCTTTTTCTTTTATATGTTCCAGTAATGATTTTATTCTAAAATTAGATACAAAAAATGTAACATAGGGAAATGTATTTTTTCTAACCATTTTTCAGCAGAATGATCCAGCATGAAGATACGTGTCAGCCCTGCCATGCACTCCTGAAGCAGCACTCATGAAAGAAATATCAGTCAGCTACTCTTGCTCACTTTCATGTGCTTCTCTCTTGCTCTCTCCTCATGATGCTGGTGGGTCTACCATTCCTAATCGAGGAATGGTGGCTCCTTTTTCAGCACAATCTGTCTGACTGTGTTTGTGTTGTCCTTGCTTTTTACAGATGCTTTGGTGACCTAACCTAAAACTCTTTTTGTCCGAACCTCCACAGTCTCTTCTATTTATACGATCGAACATCCTGCAAAACTGTTATTAAAACAGAAATCCTGCTTGAAATGTTATAACTGTGACTGCACAGGCTCATTTATATAAATCTTCCTCCATTGGCTAAATCATAGTTCTCAGTAAATCAACTCCTTGATTATGTAATGTTTAGCTACTTTGAAGACTTTTAGAAATCGGATATGTCATAAAACCATACCTTTATTCTATCTTGGTTTTTGTTACATGCACTCAATATAGGATTTAGATTTTCTTTCATTAATCATATCAGTCAGTCTATGATACGGTATGATAAGAAAACATGATGAATTTCATAACATGCCATCCAATACTCAGCTGCCATTTTTCACTTTGGATCAAAGTTAATCAGACCAAACCTTAAAGAAAAGGTACTGTGACTTTATACCTATCTAGAAACGCTGGTTTTGTACTGCATGTGCAAATGATGATGGATGTGCTTTTTCACAGTTGAAGGGTAGCTAATGGAGCAAAGAGACTTGTTAGACAAAATGCACTTTAACAAGGACATGAAAGGCACAAAGGACACAAGAGTGTTCTTGAATTAACTCACCCTTCACTAGGTGACAGAGAAAATATGCAGACATTTGTCACACGCTATTTGCACATTGTGTCATCCCACAAATTGACATGGGTGAGAGGACTGTTTTTTAGAGCAAAGCCCATCACCGATAATGGAATGCTTCTTTCTAGTAATTAACATACTGCACATGACAAAGGGACTAATGGCAGCTTCCATTCCTTTGTTAGAATATGAATTCCTTCATCGTCTTTACAGATAAATTAAGTTGAACAGATTTCTTGCATGAATGTTTTATTATAATTATAATTATTGTTGTGATACCAGAAAAACACCATTTAACCCCAAGGGTGATCTATGCTAGCATACCACCATCGGAAATCAACATCTACTACATGCAAAATGTAATATAACAGCATCTTTTAACCACTGTTTACTTGAATAATTTCTGTTCAATGACCATTAAATGTGATTGTGATTTAACAGGCAACAAAATAAAATTTCAACAACTAAATCAAAATGACAAATGTTACATTATGATAAATATACCACCTTTTTATTTAGATTGTCTCTCAATTATTCCTAACTATTAATGAATTACATAATTCTATGATGCATATTTGCAAAAACATATAAGACCTTTTCAGTAGGATGATGGTAGTTTTGTAGAATGATGCTCCCTGTTATTTTATACACAGGCAGACCTGAAATATAAGGTAATATGTTACCATTTCATTTGACAGTGTCTTCCTTAAGCTTCCTGTAAAAACTTATGAGCTTAACCACTCATCCTAACCGGCACAAATTATGACAGTTTAATCCCATCAACTACAGGGATTGCTGTCAAAGTATCCCTGAATTTGACAAATGACATAGGGAGCTCTGTTGGGATTCTGTGAGTAAATTGTTGACTCATGGTTCTTGAAACCCCACTCACCAACTTCCTTCAAACTGAGAGGATTTTTCTGACCAAATTAATCCTCCACAATCCAATCCAACTCTTCATTACAGAAATATAGCATCACCAGGAGTTTTAAAGGTGAATTACAGTTTTCACCATAGCATCATTACCACATGTTTTGAATCTATCTATGTATTTTTCTATTCCGTCCATCCATCTATCTATCTATCTATCTATCTATCTATCTATCTATCTATCTATC